GCAAGGCTACTGCTGCCTTTCTGCTGAGCACTGTGCATTTTTTACTCATAGCTTTTTAAAACCAGGACAGTCAAGAAATCCATGCGAGACGGTGCAGGTATTTAGATGTTGCTGTGAAATGATTGCTGGGGGCTATGTTGGTCCAATTAGTGTGTTTAAAGTCACGGGTGAGTTTCTGCTGTGTTCCCAGCTCACCCAGTCAGCACATATGGCCGAGGGCCCTTCATCCACAGAGTTAATTAGACTGTCAGGATCCATCGGACTCACCGTGGACTCTCTCCTCCCCACACGTACAGGTGGTCAGATCTCTGGCTGCTCACAGTTTTAGAGCTGTTACTTAGCGCCGTGCACTCGCCATATGTCCTGTAAAGACAACTTTCATTCACTTTCACTCATTTGATTATATCATCATAATATCTGCAGATATATTTAATATGCAGAAAGAAATGTGCTTTTGTTCCCTGCGTTAGAGAGAAGGAAACGTGGTCAAGTGAATTGCTGGCTCCCCGCTGATATTGGTTTTGCTCACCGGCAGTGCGAAGAAACCCTGCAAAACCGTCAGACTGAAAGTGTTAAGGGTGCTCTGGGCACAGACTGCGAGCATCTTGAACTCTAGTTCGTGTAGGAGTAGAACGAATCGCTGTCCTGGAAACCATGCCATTGCTGCAGTATGTGTGATTGGTACATTTTGATGGAACAAGTGCAAAAATAAAGTATACAAGAAGCAAAGTATGTATAATTTGTTTTAAAGGGTCAGGTCACATGCGAGATCTTTGGAGATCAAAAACCGTGATGTACTATGAATACTTTCAGAACTGAAAACTTCCTCAATAGTCGAAGAAAGAGCTTTGATTGGAGCTGGAATGCAAACATGGATTTCTGATGTCAGGAAGTTAAGGATGCATGACCCACCAACATTTACAATGTCAATTAAGGACCATTCACACCAAGAATGAGAACTATAAAAGTGACTGTAACGATAACTGTAGTAGCATCCACACCACACCTATTATAAGCGCACCCCTGCAGGTCTAGCCATTTAAAGGCAGGTGGATTTTGATTAACTATCAATGCATTTATTGTTCATCAGCTGAAAAAATCGTTCTAGATATATGATATGATATATGATATGATATGATATGATATGATACGATATGATACGATACATTGATCCTCAGTGTTGTTATCATTATAGTTGTATTGTCAACTTCCCAATTCTCATGGAATAAGAATGCTTATTAAAATGAATAGTTATTGTCCTTGGTGACAACGGGCCTTTACGCTTGTTTGACGTGGACATTTGGCTTGCAGATAATAATAAAGTAGCATGCATTCTGTTTTTCCACAAATGCCACTACAACTAACAAGAGTAAAGTCTGTCAAACCTTATGCCATTCCTGGCTTTATGTACCATCTGCACATCCCTGTGAAGAATCCCAATGTTAGAAAAAAAGTGATTGAAAAACAGCCTGTGAATGTGAAAAGGGTCACACCAAAACTTATATAAATGACTAATTTGACTAAAACGATCTACATAGGCAGCAACTCTGCACATACACATACACAACATCATAAATTGCATGGGAGATTTGAATTGTAATTGATTTCAGTGGAGTTTAATGTTTGCATGTTGCTGTGTTAGCATGTTACCGAAGCCCTGCTAACACCATAAGATGTGTTTTCAGTGAGGCAATCACAAGTGGTCAGCCAAAACAAATACTGTTACCACCTGGGATTGAAATGCATTTCAAATGCATCTCCTTTGACCACTTCTGAACAATAATTATTCTAATCCTGAACTCACACTTTGGTGATGTAAACCAGTGCCGGTCCAATGGGATACAAGTGCTCAGGTCCAGTTACAACTTGCTGGTGTTTTTGAATAAGATTCATCTGTGCAACATATGAAAAAAGAAAAACCTTTGAAAAAAAGCATGAGCTTTTTAAGTATTTTAAGGAGTAAAGCTGTGCTTTCAGGTGCAAATGATTTCAGTCTCTTGATGTTTTGAATGGGAGCCTGGTCTGATGGTGTTAGATTTACCCCCGAGCCTAAAACTCAATGAGCTGAAATGGGCCGCCAGTGTGGCAATCACTCCACTCACACACAGTGATGAAAAGTCCTGTTTACTGCTGCTATTTCTGCAGCCAGTAAAGAGAGATTAAAAACCCTCTTTTGACATACAGCTGACTGCGAGTTTGCGACTTGTTTTAAAACGTGTCGTGCACTATATGGGTTGGCTGATGGATTACCTGAGGGCTACATTACTGTGCGTAGTGTACAATAGCACATGGGGGACCACCCTGACCCACATCACGTTTTCATGTCGTTTGATGAGCATTCATCACAACACTGAATGCGCTTCAAAAGAAAATAACCGAATGCGAGACATTTGGCGAGATCATTAAGTAATGACAACTCCATATTTGTTACATGTACGCATTACTTCGAGGTGAATTTTGGGGCATGCATACATTTGCATTAATTTGCATGTTTAAGGTGTGCGGGGACACTGGCAGTCCTTTACAGACAAAGCTGATAAATCAAAATGAAGGGGGCTCTTAAAACAAGTGCAGCAGTTTGGTTACCTTGGTGATACAACCGTTCAGTCGGATAGGAAGAGAGCTCCTAATTACCTATGAATATTTATAAGTTGGTCCTCTGAAGACCCACCCTGGGAATATAATGGGTCAGACCGGCTGGGGCTGATGCTGCCATCCTGACGGGAGGCATAGAGGAATACAACTACTTCTCCCGTTTATCAGAGGACACGTGGCACACAGCAGAAGGTGATGTTATATGGAAACACCCACCACCAATGAAGTGCTAACAGCTTTCTGGAAGCTTTTTCCCCCCTTCTTCTTGGTAATTGGATCCATTTGGGCCATTAAAGCTGATGAAGTTGAGCTCTGTTTCAAAACCTTGTGAGCTGCTTTGCCCGTCTATTGCCTACTTAGGCAACTTCCTTTTAAGGCAGGAACTGAAATGGAACTGACTGATTAGGGCGTGCTTCTTAGGTAGCAACTCAAAAACAATATATATATTTTTTTCACTGAGCTGGTAGCAGTGCTTTCAGGGATTGTTGTTTCTGAAAGATACATGTGATGCTTCTTTAGTATTTGGCCACAAAACGTATCTTAGAAGGAATAGAATTTACATCATGCCTATGATGCTTTAAATTGTTGTCCTTGTTGGAGAAAAATACTCTACAGAAAATGTAAAGAATGCAAAAAAATGTAGTTCAAAATGTAAAACTTGGTCCATCTCGGCTGACATCACCGAGGCCTTGCGGGCTATTGGTTAACCAATGACAAATAGCTATTTATTTATTGTTTTTGGCTTCTGCAGGAAATGCTGCAGTAATTATGCTAATACCAAAATGCCAAAATTATGCTAGTAAAGTAATTAAATGGAGGTCAAAGGGATAGTTCACCCAAAAATGTAAATTATGTCATCATTTACTCGTAACATGTTTGGAACATATGTTGTTCCAAACTAGTTTCTTTCTTCTGCTGAACACAAAAGAAGGTATTTTGAAGAATGTTGGAAAGCAAACAGTTGCTGGTAGCCATTGACTTTCATAGTATTTTTCTCCATATTATGGAAGTCAAAAGCTACCAGCAACTGATTGGTTGCGAACATTCTCCAAAATATCTTCTGATGACAAATGATGACAAAAGTTTTATTTTCAAGTTACATTGGTTAATACCAAGTATCGGAAGATTTGGAAAAAAAAAAAATAAAAATAAATTTTTAAAAGTGTGTTGTAATTTAAATGCATCAGTAGGTTCCTAACAGTGAACTTGAGCTTCAAGCCTCCACGTCCTGACCAGTTCAGTCAAAAATGGGCGCAGACTTCTTATATATGCACATACAAGTCCACAAGACAACAACTCACTGTTGTAATGAAGTTCACAGCTGCATAACATTCCACAGCTCTTCTGCCCAGAAAATCCTTACGCAGTCACATCTTTACCGCTGTGCTTCGAAGTGTCTTTCAGCTATTAATAATCCCTTCCGTTTGGCTTTTCAGTCTTGACTTTAAATCAGATCTGAGCCCTATAATAACTCTCTCAGCCTAATTGTTTTTCTTTTAATTTAAAGCGTGCCAGAGCAGAACAGTAAAAGAAGAGACCGATAGCATTGTTAATGAATCCTGATCCCCTGATTCAAGACACCGACACAGGAATGAGGGATGCAGAAACCTGGAGATGGTAGACAGAAAGAGACAAATAATTAGAACAGTTCTAGAGTTGTTTTACTCAAATGCGCTTTGATTATATTTTTGTACTTTCCTGGCCCCTTTTTGATCTAATAAGCTTGTAACATCCCGCCCTACTTTAATGACAGCAGTAGTGAAAATAACCGTACTCAGCAGTAGCAATAAAGTACTAGGTGGCTTTTCATCTCTTACCAGAACTTTGTCGAGATGGATGGCTGTCACCCCCAATGTGATGTCACTGCAGAGCTGGCCAGAGTGGGCGAGGATTGATTGACAGCCCATGACACCACTCAGAGAGTTCCCCACTCCATAGTACTGGTGGCCTTTTGCAAGGTTTTAATGTTTGAGCTCTCCAAGCTCTCTGTATACGCTCAGCCATTCATAAAGGTATTGAAGTCCCAACAGTCTCTCATGGAGAATTACCTGATCTGACAGCATCAGCAAAGCTTCTCATTTTCGGCCAGCACTGCTTTGGGTTCAGTATCCTTTGAATATGGCTTACAATGATTGATTCATTTAGATAAAGTCACGGATGATTGCCTTGTGGGAAACAGGAGTCTGTCATTAGCTGTGTGTTAAAGTGGCTTCATTAAGTTTTGGCTCCTGGTGTCCTGTCACTTTGACCATATGTGTCTCCATCATACATGTAGCCACACCACATCTGCTACACATAAACTCACAGTCTTCAGTATCTTGCGTTGAACAGGTACATGCCATTTCCAGATCTCCAGATCAAGATCTTGTCAATGGGCCATTGAAATGTTCCTTGTGTGTTTGCAGATTGGCCAGTTGGTGTTCAAGGGCATGAAGAGGTTGAACAGAATTCAGTCTATAGTGTTCGAGACAGCTTACAATACCAATGAAAACCTGCTTATCTGCGCCCCCACCGGTGCCGGCAAAACCAACATCGCCATGCTCACCATCGTACATGAGATCCGCCAGCACCTGCAGCCTGGGGGAGTCATCCGCAAGGATCAGTTTAAGGTAAACAGACAGTCGCAGAGACAATATTGTTGAGTGAGCTGTTGGCTTTCTGGCAGCCAATAACTAATTTCCGCACCAGTCCATATGCCTCAGGTACAAAACAACCTGATTGGATGTGTTTGTTTAGTTTATGTCAAGCAAGGATAGACTTGAGCATTAAATATGTGTTAATAAGTTTTACCATAGTTTGGAGATGTAAACGGATGCGTTGTCTCGTGAAGCGCATTTTCACACACGTGCATGCCAGCTTCAACAATGATAGACAGTCTTCATACATCACCATTAAACTCTTACTTTAAGCAGCCAGCTTCATATTTCGTTGTGAATTGTTATTTGTATTGGTTGCCTGGGAACAAATGGTACTGTGGTGTTTTCTCATTTATCATGAGCATGTCCTGTCTCTCTTTCCTGCCTCTATAGATTATATACGTGGCTCCGATGAAGGCCCTGGCTGCTGAGATGACTAATTACTTCAGTAAGCGATTGGAGCCTCTGGGCATCGCTGTCAAGGAGCTGACGGGAGACATGCAGCTGACCAAAGGAGAAATCCTCCGCACTCAGGTAACAAAATGGTAACGGATGGACCTTTGGCTATAATAATATTGGACATTGGCTGGTGGCAGGTAGACTTTGTTCACCTTACTGGACTTGGACTTGGCAAATCTCAACCCCAGATCATCAGTGACTTCATCTGTTGTCTGATGCTTGGGTATGGTCATACATCATGGTTCTGTGAGACTCTATTTCCTGAGAAAAGGCTGGTGTAAAGATGTTGAGGGTGGTGTAATGTAGGTGTCAAAGATCTCATGTAGTAGCTGGAAGGTGGTAGGTTAAATCCTGCAAGGGTTGATCCTTAAAATATGCCATTGTGTCCATGATCAAGAAGCTTAATCTTGGGTTACTCAAGAGGACTGAGCCTGTAATACGCCTATAATGGTAATTTAACAAATTAAATGTAGACTTCAGCTGTGTGTTAAATAAAGACTAGAACACAGTTTTAAGACTGCAAGCCCCTCACTTTTGATGATGACTTTATATCACATTCCTCACTTCCTTCACCCTTCATCCAAACTGCTTGTCCACATTATTGTTCTAAAACAAATTACAGATTGTTCTGAATGTAGGTGTATAGCCAAATCCTGCTTGATTGAGTCCACGAGGTCGTGCTCTTATAAAGCACTTGTCTTGTCTCACCGATCAATATGAATGTACAACTTAGACACATCCATTTGCAATGCTGCAGCGCACACAGTTCCGGGCCAACAGTTTAAGGACGGAAGTGTGTATGCGTGACAAGCAGTGAAGAATGCAGAATGTAAGCAGCGATTCGCTGCCCTTGCCGTTATACCAGCTGCCAAGGACTGCAAAATGATGATGCACTCTGTTAAAGTCTTTTTAAAATTGATGCTATGGTTTGAAACTCTGGTTGCACTTTGTTTTACAGTGAGTGCACTTATAGTGTAGTTACCAAGGATAAGTAATTTAAGTAATACAAGGTAACTACATGGCTTAATGTTAGGTTTAGGGGTAGGTACAGGGTTAGTACCTAGTTATTACTCAGGTATTGTAATTACTATAGTAAGTTCATGGTATGTACATGCAGAGCGGGACTGTAAAATAAAGTGCTACCGAGTACTACAGAGATTCCGTAATTTTGTAGACTAACCTGGAAGTTACCATTACCCTGGTTCTGTCGACAAATACCAGTAGTATTTTTCCATTGGCTTTTAGATTTTTGTGGAAAATAAACTCTGTGACCAACAAGTTTGTGGTTACTTACACATTTTTTTTATTATGATAACGAAAAAGACCCCTAAGCTTCTAAAAACTGTCTTTGTTTTTTTCTTTAAAATCTATAATTTTTAAAGTTTGAGTTAGAATTGTTTACCAGAGCCTAGCATAAATGTTAGTAAAAGCAAACTAGTGAGTAGATGAGTTTAGCTGTTCGGCGTGATGACATTTAATTTTTTAACATTTGACATGGAATTTTTTTTTAAGATGGTAAAAGCTTAAAAAAAATCACAAGTGCGGTGTTACTGATGTATTTTATGTTGTAGAATAAAATATCTTGAGCTTAAAGTTAACCATAGACTTTCATTCAGGCATTTAACCAAAAACCCAATGACTTTGGGTAATTGAAAATGGAAGTTCAAAAATGCTAGCACATGTCTTGGTTTTAGGACTCATTCCTGCAGCCCTCTATTCATGTGGTGTAACATGTACTCCCTACTGCAGTGGGTGAATTGACCTTGTATTTACAGTGGTGTTAAAGCGCACATTTCTGAACATGTTTGCTTTCAGTTCTGTTTTGTGATGTTTCGTACCACCATCACATTTTTCTTTCGGCCCAAATTCACACTTCCAGGAAGGAAACATCCAGGATGACTTTAAGGGTGTGAATTGCTTAAATAGAGCATGTACCTCATATCAAACAAGCTAGTGTAAGCTGTGAAAATGAAGTCCTCTTGACTTCTACTTGCTGAATAAAAACCTTCACAGACGTACTGAGTGTTTGTTTATATACATGTTCAAAAAAGCCGCATCCTTCCACAACCATGTTTTTTTCTCCATGCCGTTGTCCTTTTTCCTCTCTCACATTCCCTTGCCTGTAGATTCATGCATTAATGGATAGACAAAGACTTCTAAGAGCACTTAATTGTTAAAACAAGAGTGAGGAGATGAAGAATAGATTTAGAGGATTGTAGAGAACAGGAAGGAGTCATGGGTCAAGTGGTGTGAGGAGTGTAATATCAATGACTGTATAAAGGGAAATGATCCTTGTGTTTTCCCACAGGAAGCTTGTCTTCCTCGGACCATATCTATTGAGTGCTCTCGCTGTACTTCCCGAACAGCAGAGCAAACAAAGCAAAAATGGAGAGATATGAATCGAGGAGATGTGTTGTAGAATAATAAGGCATCATCACACCTTCTGTCAGGCTGAAAGCAGTGCTTTACTGCCCCCTCAGCCCTGTGTCTTTTAGACAGTGGCAGGCTTGCACAACAGTTCTTTAAAAAATGACCATCTCTGCAGTGGTTAGCTGGGAGAATATCAAGTATCTTGCCTATTTTTGCAGCATTGGAGATGTCTCTGAGGTGTCTGGTAGACGCTGAGACAGGAAAAACAAGTGGTCATTACCGGCAGACCTCACAGTTTGGCTCGTGGAGCTCAGAGACACGATGTCATTGAGCGCGCCTACTTTTTGGCCATGCACACAACGTGTTTTAACCGTTCATTTTGTTAATTGCACAAAATGGCATGGGAAACATAAGGTGGTGTGTCATGTCTTATTTAGACCATCAAAGTGGTCATTAGATATTGATTGGTAGTTAGCATCAGAGCTGTATCTGCTCGAAGTTAACAGCAGGTTACAACCTAACCATTCTATTGTTTGTTGTGCCTTTCCTTTAATAACGGTGCATTATTTCTATTTTCCTTTGTCTTTCTCTTTCCCCACATTTATTTCACATCCTCTCTCTCATATTCCATATTCTCCTTCTCTCACAATTGCCTATTCAGATACCTCAACACAATCGACCTCAACATCTATATGAAGCCTAACATCATCCAACACATTCATACCTAACAATAAATGTATACCTACCCTATCATCCTCCAATACACACATGCATACAATGAGATCTCTCCAGCACACACATGCTTACTACCCCAGCATCACCCCCTCTTAGTGCTGCTTTTAGAGAGCTTGTCATTTTCTGCTGCTTGGATCATAGCACTTTGTCTCTCTGTCTTATTTTCTTGTTGCTATAGTAACCACTGTACAGTAAAATGCCTAATATATAGAACACACAGCTGTTCAAATGACCTTATTGAAGACTAAATTTGTGCTGTCAGAGGCGGTGCTAACATTTAAATAAGAGGGCATAGGTTATAAGATGTAAAAGACAGAGATGCCGACTCTGATAATTAGATTATATAGCAATCAAAGATACATCAGCATGGCTAATATTAGATAAAGGAATAACTTTGATTATAAGTATGTTGAATTATTTAGAAAGTAAAGAGAATGATCTTCACTGTTGTAATGGTAACTAAAGTGATAGATTTTTCTCTGGATTCTTTGCAAATGAATTGCCCAATACTTGCACATCAGAGGATTCAAGTCTTGGCCCTCCCAGACTGTTGTGGGAGTAATGTAATATGCAAATTGAAGCTAATCAGAGAGGTGAAGGATGTTTATTCTAGAAGCCGGGAGATGTGAATAGATCCTCACCAGTAATGGGAATGTCACAGAGGAAATTACCTGTTGATGTATGAAAATTCTGTCACAAAACAACAAATAGGACACTAAAATGTCGGTTCTATATTGTCGGCTCACATAGAGTTTTTCAGTATGTCTCAGAGGAGAGCAGGGGAAAGATGTGATGAGCGTATTTGAGCAGAGAAACAAGAGATTCCAAGTGAAGTCCAGTAGAGTATTTTTAAAGGGATATTGTTTATATCAGGTGACAAGATTACAAGAGAGCGGTGTCTGTTATTTTTTTACAATGCAATAAGAAGAAAAAAAAAAAGAGCAAGAAGTCATGTCACGGCACATGGTAAGGCTGAAAAAAGGTCCTGCCACAACAGTTCTTGTCATTTGAGTGAGTACATACACTGAGCATTACTGACTGAATATTTTGCTGATGGGAAAAAAGTAGAGCACATCGGATAATGTACAATCCAGCCTGTCAATGTGATGCGTAATTAGTATTTGTAGTGCAACCTCTTGTTGAAATGCTTATATAAACAGAGTATTGTTTTGATAGCACCACAGTGTTTACACTTTTCAGGAAAATAAAACCACAAATGGTTTAATTTGAATGGTTTTGCATATTAAAATGGGGTTGAAAAAAAAACTTTTTAAAAAAACAAAACAACGCACTTCAACTTTGAATTAGTTTTTGCAAATTTAAAAAGTGAGATGCAGTACTCATTTCTCATTGAGGTTCACACAGAAGACTGTGTGTAAAGTGTACGAGGATATGTTTGCATTGGTTGTTTACTCATTGAACAGTATTTTCCTTAAAAATGCACCTGAAAGAATGCCTCTTAACATATGAGGTAAGTCTGGCACATTGTGTTTTAGAACAGTTTCTTAACGGATTTTTATTTAATGTCTGGCAGGCCAGCTGCACTCCTGAGCCTGAAGACTGAAGTGTATTCATATGAATCTTTTGGGGATTTTTATTTATTTATTGTTTTTTTTTACGTTGATTACATTTAAAAATATAGTACTCCGATACTACAGGTAGGAGCGTTTGAAATTAGCAGGGGCTTGTGGCTAAAATGCCACCAAATGAACAAAAACACCCCACAAATTCAAGATAAAGGGGCAAAAAAAAGTTGCATCAGATTGTTTATAATGTTGAGCATTATAACCAAACTGTTATAATGTATGAATGCAATAGCCAATCAGACACATTTTGATTAGTCTGCACTGAAACGCAGGAGTTTTGTTGAGTGTGTGCTCCCGCTGACTGAATTCTTCAGGCTCGCGAATTCTCTCATCATAAACAACGAAGTGCAGATATGATGTATATACTCTTATTTACATTTTATC